GTCATTCCTCCATAAAATTTGCCAATCGACTCTTCTTTCACTTAGTTGTCACTTCTATGTAGGTTCGCATCACTTCTGCTTTCGATTGACATTCTCTTGGGAAATGAAGTGGATAATCTACTATCAGTAGCACTGATTATCATTGGTGAAGATTTGATAACTATTGTCTTTTATTTCATTTCTTCGAAGAGTCTTTGAACATTTGCATAGCCCCTCTATTGGATAGATAAGAGAATTGAGATACTTAGTTTTACTCATTCTCTTAAGAGTTGAGAAGACAAATGTTACTTGACTTCGCTTGCCTCCTCAAGGGTTATACTCCATGTATCGAGCTGGTTACTGACCTTCGCCTACTCTTTGCTCACACTTCCGAAGTACTCGAAGTGTTTGCACTCTTTGCGTTGAGTTAGTTACTGTGATTCACTTTCTCGATACCATCGAACTTCTGGAATGCAAGAATTTTTCACCCCAACTTGGAGTAAGTCTCTAATAGTTTTAGTTGTATGTGGGATCATACCGTTTTCTCCATCAACCCTATCGCCTACTCCACAGTGTAGCAAAGGTACAGTACCATGTACTGTCTGCTTCGTTCCTTAGTCGTGTACTCTTGTACAACCCGAGTCCTTCACTTTTAGTTATCTTGATGAGAAGCTCGTTGACACCAGTCTTACGAAGTTCCTTGACTTTCGTCCTTTAGTCTTATATCGGTACTTAGAATTTGTCTCTGCATACTCCAACGTGACAGCACGTATTAAGTGATAAACTAAGTGAGTCAAAGTCAATGCATGTTCAATGATAAACCTTCTAGTATTTTCATCAGCATAATCGACGGTATAAAAAGAAATAAGATTAAATATTTTATTTTCATAAATATAAAATCCTAATATAATTTTTAAAAATATAAAAACTGAGATATTAAAGATACATAATTACTTATTTTAAGGTAGCCACTAAATGACTGTAAATTCCTTAAAATATGCATGTAGGTGTCTAACTCAAAGGGCGTTTCAGCAACATTTTAGGATCTACAACAATTTGCAAGGCTTCACTTTATAAATACATGAGAATACTAGAATAATGGACGATGTGCTTAGAAAAACCCTCATTTTCGTATTTCTATTTTTCGATGGAGAATCCTCTTTTTGCCATACAATAGAACACTTTATATTTTAATTGAATATTTCCTCGGATTGAACAGTTTATTGCAATCATTGCACTAGTTCAAAACAATATTATATTTTACTAGTAAATAAAAATTAGATCATATTAAATATATATTTTTATATTAATAAAAACAAGATAATAATTTATAAAAATAATATACATACAAAAATACAAATAAAAACAACCAACTCATGATTTTCATAAAAATAATATATCAGATTAATGATATATTTTTATTATTTTAATATATAAACAATTTAATGTTGGTATAAATGGTGTAATGAATATGTCAATCTATTTCAAAGTCAAGCCCTCATTTTTATTATTTTGATATAATTTTGATTGAATATGTCAAAATTAATAAAATAATAAAAAACCAAAAATTAAGTTTAAATCATATTTATATAAAATATAATATTTAAGC